GTTGATCAGCATCATCATCATCATCATCATCACCATCACCATCGTCATCACCACCACCATCATCATCATCAGCATCACCACCACCACCCTATCATCATCATCATCATTATCATCATCATTATCATCATCATCAGCATCATTCATCATCATCATGATCATCATTGTCATCATCTTTATCAGCATCATCATCATCATCATCATCATCATCATCATCATCATCATCATCATCATCATCATTGTCATTGTCATCATCATCATCGTCATCATCATCATCTTCTTTTCATCATATCATCATCATCATCATCATCATCATCATCATCATCATCATCAGCATCATCATCATCATTATCAGCTTCGGCACACCCCTCACACGGATCGTGGCCACATGGGGAGCTTCACGAAGGTCCAAGTGGCAGGGTTCGCATGGCGGCCCATCCCCATGTCGGCACACCCCTCACACGGATCGTGGCCACGTACGGAGCTCCACCGAAGGCCCCGTGGCAGGGTTCGCGTGGCGGCCCCGCCCCATTTCGGCACACCCCTTGCACGTTTCGTGGCCACATAGGGAGCTCCACCGAAGGCCCCAGTGGCAGGGTTCGCGTGGCGGCCCCGCCCCATTTCGGCATACCCCTCACACGTTCCGTGTCCCCATAAGGAGCTGGCAGAAGGCCCCAGTGGCAGGGTTCGCGTGGCGGCCCCGCCTCATTTCGGCACACGCCTCACACGTTTCCCGCTCGGCGGTGGCCTCCTCGCTCCTCGCTCCTCGGACGCTGCCGCGTGCCGGCTGTTGTCGGGGAAACGTAAGACTCGAGTACCCATCGGTCGTTGAAGTAGGTATTCCGGATTCCCGGATTCAATCTTTTTCAAGCGCCTTTCTGCTTCAAGAATCGATCTGCTTCTGCTGCGTTTTGTTACTCTGGTCGGGCCCGAACCCAATCTAGTCTATCCGCCTTCCTACTTAATGCTTCTACCTGCTTCTTCCGACCGGTGGGTAAGCCGGAATTCGGGTTTGCCGACGCTCTTTGATGAGGCGTATCTTGGATTTTGACGGTTCAGTTTTCGTGGGATGTTGGCAGCGGGACTTCGCGTCAGTTTTCGGATTTGGTCTCGCCATTTTCATGCTGGTCTCGTCAGGCCAACCCGAGTCCCCCGAACTTGAGTCTTACGTCTCCCAGATGTTGGCATCTTCGCTCAGCTGTGGCCGCCTGAGCGACTTAGAAGAGCGGGCTTGATTGCGCCGACGTTGGCGCGTTGCTCCTCCTCCTCCTCCGCCTCCCTCTCCCCTATACCATAACTTATTCCTCCTCCGCCATCCTCCTCCTACCTCCCCGCACCGCGACGCGGACACCCGTCTTACTGCTCCCCTTCTCCTAAACCTCCTCATCCCACCTCACTCACCTCCTCCTCCTCCTAAACCCTAACCTCCCCCCTTAACAAATAACTCCCCAACCTTCTCATCACACATCTTCCATGTTCCTTCCACCATCACTCCTATACCTCCTAATCCTGCCCCCTCCTCATTACAACTCCTCCTCCCCATTACCTCCTCCTACCTCCCCTATTCCTCCCCCACTTTTCTTTTTTCTCTCCTTACTCACTCCTCCCCTTCTCATCCTTCTCTTTCTCATCCGCCTCCTCTGCTCCTCCTCCCTTCCTCCTCCTTCCTCCTCCCCTCGTCCTCCTCCTTCTCTCCTCCTCATCCTCCTCGCCTTCTCATCACTCATCCTCCCCCTCTCTCTTTCTCCTCACCTCCTCATCCTCCCCTCCTCCTCAAACTCCTCCATTCTCCTCCTCCTTCCTCCTCCGCCTTCTCCTGCTGCTCCATCCTCCTCCCTCCTCCTGTCGTTACTCTCCATCCTCCCCTCCTGCCCTACCTCCTCCTCACCTCCTCCTCCCCCCCTTCTTTCCATCCTCCTCCCCTTTATCCTCCTCTCCTTGCTCCTTCCTCTCCTCACTTCTCCCCTCCTCCCCCCTCCTCCACTTCTCCTCCGCCTCCTCTCACGCCTCCTCCTCCTCCCTTTTTTTCCTCTTATCCTCACTCTCCATCCTCAACCTCAGCCTCCTCGGCCTCCTCACCCCAGCCTCCTCCTCCTCCTCCCCCTACCTCTTTTCCGCGTGCTGCTCTCGTGCGCTCCGCTCCCGCCGACCCCCTCCCGCGCGCCCCCCTCGCAAGGCCCCTGGGCCGGTGCCCCGAGGTGCGGCGAGCCAGGCGTGCCCCTCCGCCCGCTGCCGCCGCCGAGGAGGGCCCACCAACGAATGTTCTAGGAACCTTTTGTGGTCTGCACGGCATTTTCTTAGAATCTTTCTGGCTGTAACACGTCGGGCTTTTGTGTGAAGAATAGGCTTGTTCTTAAAACATTTTGGGGTCCGAAGAACATGTCGTGGTATGCCAAAAGAATTGCCGGGACGGTCGGTCCCTGCTGAACGGAGGAGGATGCATCACCGCCCACCAAGCCACCCCAACCCACCCCGAAGGCCCTGAGTAGCCCTCCATCTCCAGCGGGGGGCGGGGGTCGGGGAGCACTGAGGAACGCACATATGAGGCCCGACCCCCCCAAAAAAACATGCAATTCGGGTCTTCGGGTGGGGTGGGGTGGTCAGGCTTGGGGGAGCGGGCCCCTCCCCCCTCCTTGCTCTCTCCCTGCCCGCGCCGCCCTGCAGGGGGCGAGCGCGCAGGCCAGGCGCGCCGCGCGCGGGGCTTCCGCAGGTTGGCCCCCTGGGCGAGGCCAAGAGCCGTCCCTCTCCGTTTCGCCTGCGGGTCGGCCGCGAGGCGGCCTGCAGGAGGAGGAGGAGGAGGAGGAGGAGGAGGAGGAGGAGGAGGAGGAGGAGGAGGAGGAGGAGGAGGAGGAGGAGAGGCGGAGGAGGAGGTGGAGGAGGAGGAGGAGGAGGATGAGGATGAGGATGACGAGGAGGAGGAGGAGGAGGAGGAGGAGGAGGAGGAGGGGAGGAGTAGGAGGAGGAGGAGGAGGAGGAGGAGGAGGAGGAGGAGGAGGAGGAGGAGCGATCAGCAGGGCACGGGCCCGTGGGCGACGCGGAGCAGAGCGGGTCTGCCCGTGCGCCGACGCTGGCGCAAAGGCTGCCCGCGTGCGGCCGCGCGTGAGCGCCCCCGTCGGCAGTGCAGCGTGCTGCGCGGGCGGCCGGCGCAAGCCGCCGCGCACAGTCGGGGCGCTGAAGAAGGAGCCCTTTCCGTTTGGGAGGGGCTCGGCGTTCCCTGATTGTTCTGCAGTTTGCCTTCAATTTTCCTGAGGCTTTCCATGGGAAATCGAAGTTCAACGTATGCCATACGTTGAACTTCGTCTTTGTTTTCGCGCCTGCGACACGGATCGCGTAATTCCTCCCTGGCGCTACGCGGTGCCATGACACGTTCGATTTATATCTTTCAGATTTCAAGAGGAACCCGCATTCACATGCAGGTTTGGGGGGGCAGTTTGGCCCGACGTATGGGAGAAAGGGGCCCCGTTCCTTGTTTAGGGTTCCTTAGGTCAAGGCCCCGACTGTATGGGTCTCGTGAGCCTTGAGGCGGGGATCCGTGCAAGTGGGGGTCAGCTTGAGCGCCCGATCTTGCAGGATCCTGCAGGGCCAGGGGCGCATTGACCCGGGTTTGGGTCCAGGATCCTGCAGGATCCTGCAGGATCGTTCGCGTTGACCCGGGCTTGGGTGCA